GGAACAAGAGGATCCATTTCATTAGTTTCTAATGCTGAATCGTCATCAAAGTCATGTATTTCTTGTTTCTGTCTTGTACACGATTCAGTAGAGTTTGCTAATGTTCGAAGATATTCCGCTTCAGCCATTCCAGTTTGTTCCACTAGTAAAGTAAAATGAGAGCTATCATTTGACAGTAATACTTGAGGCGAATCAAACTCGATCAATTTTCCATTACTAAGCACCTACAACAACAAAATAAATGTATACATTTTGTAAAATAACCATCAATATTCGATACCATGATACGATCACTATCAATCACTGTACGCAAACGATGTGCTACTGTCAATACTGTACAGTCTTTGAATTTATCACGAATGGTTCTTTGAATCAATTCATCCGTTCTAGATAATATTTTCAATCTTTTTTATTCTAAATATCTCATTTTTTTTGTCACTCACACATTATCCACATTAGCAGTTGCTTCATCAATTACAAGAATTTTACTCTTTTTCAATAAAGCTCTTGCTAAGCATACCAGTTGTTTTTGACCAACACTCAAATTAGATCCACTTTCACTTACTAATGAATGAAGAGCATTTGACATCATATCTGTTACTAATTTTTTCAATAGTACCTATATGAGCAAAACACAAATTTATTCAACTATTGACTTAAAACAAAATGATTCAATTATGACTGACTTGTTCAAGTGCATTCCATATTTCAGCATCTGAATAAAAACCAAATGGATCAAGATTACTTCGCATTGTACCAGTAAAAAGAACAGGATCTTGTGGAATAATTGAAATACGACGTCGAACATCATCTAATCCAACAGTTGCTATATCAATATTATCAATGATAATGTGACCATCGACTAGTGTACCCATTCGAAAAAGACTTTGAATGAGCGAACTTTTACCAGCACCTGTTCTTCCAACAATACCAATTTTTTCACCAGGTTCAATTATTAATGATATATGATGAAGAGCCAATGGTGAATGTAATTCTTTCGAATGAGACATAGAAACATTTTCAAAAACAATACGACCTTGTGATGGCCAATTTGTTAGTGGTCGATATTTAGTTGATAGTTGACTAGGTGGTTCTTGATCAAGTGAACAATATTCAAGTATTCGTTCAACTGATGTCATTTGAGTTTCTACTTCAACTGATTGTCTTGAATAAACAGCATATTCTAGACAGAGAAACAATGTACACTTTATTTTTCACGCTCTAACCTGATAGTTCCTTGAAAAAGGCCCATTAAATTAAGACTGTAGGTGAGTGTAAGAGCAATATCAACAGCTGAAAATTGACGTTGACTTATACGAACAATTATGGCAAGTATAATCACCAAAGCAATAAATATAAGAGATACCCAATCAAAACGCATTGCTGACCATCTATTCAATGTTGCAATCAAATAACTGACTCGTGTATTATTATCAAGATGATAATGAAATTCTCTAGAACAAATATTTTCAGCATGATAAGATCGAATAACTTTGACACCATGAATAGTTGATGTTAATTGTGAATAAACAGGACTTCGTGTTGTTCCTACAAGTCGTTTTAAATCACGAGAACATGAAGCAAATCGATATCTCAAATAGAACATGCCACATCCAGCAATTATTGCTGGAATAAATGACCATGGATTGAGGAATACAACTAAAACAATTGTGCCCAATACTTGAGATAAACACTAGACAAATATGTTATGTTTAGATTTACATAGATTACAAACAAATAACATTTACCACAAGGAACTCATGTATAATTATTGGTAGAGAATCATCCATTGCAGCAACATCGCTTGTAAAACGATTCAATATTCGACCTATAAATAAGCATTAAAGAGAAACTCGAACTCATGTTATTTACTTCTACAATTTTTAGTATTTTCTTAATTTGAATTTATTATAATTAAAGAACAAAATGTATTATTTAAAGTTCATCCCGCTTGTTTTGCTCTAGTTATTCATTCGATATTTCTGTATGTTGCAGAAATATAAACTTTTGTTTTTCGAACAGGATGTGTTGAAAAAAAATCAAGTACTTACCAACTGGATTCGTATCAAAAAAAGATATAGGACATCGAATGACTCGTAGAAACATTCTGAAAATAGAAAAAAAAAACAAAGATTAAGAAAGCAGAAGATGAAAGTTTGACAAATAACTTACTTATTATGTAGTACTCGACCAGAATTTAAACATATAAGTCGACAAACAACAGTACGAAGAAATATTAAAAAGCAAAGTAAAAGTACGAGAGCTAAAATTCAATACGAGAATATAGAAAAAGCAACTAAAATTTCATTAACAAACCAACCACAAAATATATAAAATCGTCGATCTCGATGTGTATACCATTCAATATCATTCATTTGATATAGTGTATCTATTTTCTTGTCTCGTGTCACCACACAATACGTTAAATTTTGATGACGACGACGATTTTCATCATCACTCCATGCTGCTAACCACCAATTACTATAAATAGATATTGTTTGTTGTATTGAAAATATAATTATAATTAATAGAAAACCAAAAATGGCACCAACACCAGCTCGAAGATATGATATATAAACATTCCATTTTACTGTTCCTTCTGATTTTGTTTCAAGATTTTTTGGTAATACATTAATATCTTCTTCGTCTGAATTCTCTTTTTCTGAACTTATTGAACCGATTCTTGATTGTTGATTTGATAAAGAATCTGTTTGTTGTTTTTGTTCATGTTGATTAATATTTTCAAGAAGTTGAGCAAATATTGATGAAGATAAAAGTAATTCTTCATATGTTCCCATTTGTATCATTTCACCCTATATAATACATAGTGAGTTTTATAAAAATAAAATCACACAAACATTTTTATTGACAAACATACATTATCGAGAACAATAATTTTACTTGCATCTTGTAAAAATTGTATTTGATGAGTAGCTAAAATACAAATTTTATCATGAAGATAATTTTTAATTGATCTAAAATTCATTGATATTTGGATGATGAAAATAAAAAAAAAAGAACGGCATTTCTATGTACTCGTCAAAGAGATGTTTAGAAACTTTAGCATCAACAGCTGAAAGTGGATCATCTAATAGATAAATATCAGCATCACGATAAAGTGCTCTTGCCATATTGACACGTGCTTTTTGACCCTATGAATAATAAATTATTCGAATATACTTTTTCTTTTTTTTTTATTTCGAATAAACCATTGTATCTTACTCCAGACAACATAACACCTTGATCACCAACAAGAGTATTTGCACCATGAGACAATTGAACAAAATCCTATTCATTAAATACAATGGCATACTATTCTGTAAATAAACATCTAAATTAATCCTACTATATCGAGAGCAGTTGCACGAACAACACGTTGAAATAATTTAGAATTATATTCTTTACCAAAAAGAATATTATTTTTTACTGATGACGAGAATATCCCTGAAATACAATCAATTAAATAAGTTTTCAATAATAATCTATTTACATGATTCTTGTGGTACATAACAATATGATCCATATAATCTAACTTTTCCATCAAAATAAGTTATTTCACCTGTTAATGTTTGTAAAAGTGAACTCTGAATAAATTAAATCAAAAATGAAATTCTATTCAAATTTGAAAAAACAAAACAAACTTTTCCAGATCCAACAGGTCCAATAATACAAATAAAATCACCAAGGAGGAGCATTGAACACAATATTTGTTAATGAAAATTTTCCATTCTACAATATTATAATTATGATTTTATTTAGAAAAAAAAATTCATGAGAACATTAACTTTTTCCCATTGAGCTTGTTTTAAATTACATATAATTTTCGATGTTTGTTTTATTAAATTTTCATTTGTGTTCTCTATTTCAACAATATCTTTAAAAGATGTTGATAATAATCGATTATTTCTTTCCGATTCATCAAGTAAAAGAAATGTCTATAGAAAATTAGTCATATCAATTATGGCAATCAAAACATCTATTCAAGCTAACTTGTATTCGTTTTTGAGCAGCCATATAATTAAGAAGATCACGAATAGCCATATTAAAAAAAGTAATACAAGATATACGTGTATAACTAAGTAATACATAGGAAAAAGTAAAGACATCTGTATCAAATTTTATATCAAATAACCACATTGTTCCATACATCATTAAGAATGTTACACTAATATAACTATGTGATAAGACCGTTTCAATACAGGTACTCATCATATATAAAATTATTTTAATCATTTCATGTCTAGATATATATTGATATTTATTTTATATTGTAAATAATAGAATAATGGATACACTAACGTTCTTATATGACGAACTTTTCTTTCGAATGCTGATTCCCAACAATACATTTTTACAATTCGCATTGATTTGATAATCTCAGACATAATTTTAACACGTTCATCAGTTACTTTCAAAATTTCAGTACTACAAATCATGAATTCGGGTAATAACATATATAGAAAAATAAACAAACCGTAAATGAAGAAACAAACGACTGAATAATGGTTGAATCAATAGGAGTAATAGTGTATATCCAATGGCAATAAAAGTAATATATTTAACAAAATACCACAATAAAAAAATAACTACAATGATTTGTAGTGGAGCGATCTACAAAAGATAAATAATAGTACTCACAGCACATTTTCATATTTGATTCGTATTTTAGCTCTTAAAAAACACATACCCATAAATAATTAAAACAGAAATGAACTATTTCTATTTTATTAGCATCATTTGCTAATAAATTCATAATTTTACCAGAAGCGTAATTATTCATTGAATGAATTGATAAACGAAGTATCTGTTTAAATACAATAAATTATAATTATATTATCAATTAATTTTTATTCACTTTTCGAAAGATTAAACCACTGTAAGCTACTCGCATTTGTATACCACACATGACAACACGATAAACGTACTACGTAAATAAAATCGAGAATGATCCATATATGTATAATATTTAGATATTGTTATTACTTGGTGAAAAATAAGATTTATACATAATAGTGCTATGATAACAGCCGAAGCTGCTAACCAAGCTTGCCAAGCAAATATTGTTGAACATGGTTCAAAAAATCCAATGAAATAGATGAGTAATAATGGTTGGATAATATTTAATGATTCCTAGTAAAAAAAAGAATTATATTAAAATAAAGATATTTAGATTAAAATAAATTCAAATTCGATTATCTCTGCTTACAAGAGGTATTAATAAAAGACCAATAAGTATCAATTTCCATCCCATAGTGCGTAATGTAGCTCGAATTAGACTCGGATTTTGTGGACATTTTTTTATTTCATCCAACCAATTTGCTTCTAACTTATTAGTCAATGATGTTGATTCAAGATAAGTAGGAATATCATAAAGATCATTGAGATGAAGTGTTCCTTGTTGATGACTTTTTGTAATTAAAGAAGATAACCAACTACATAACTGAAATGCTAATTAACAGAAATAAAATGATAAGATACAACTTACCAATGAAAAAAACGTGAGAAAATATTAGCTTTTAGTAAAGGACTGGGATTGTTTCTGAATGATGACATCTATATCAAGGTTATATTTGTGTCTTATTTGATTATTGTGTAGTATTCTTTCTCCTATCAAGAATAGCTCTATTATGTTCTCTCACACGAACAATATGAAGTAGTTTTGTACTTTTGCAAAATGAAAACGTTAAGTCAATAGAATATTTTTTTTTTCTGACCTTGATTTTTTTTTATCTACAATATTTATAAATTTAAAAATATAATATTATCGTTGCATCAAACTATCAAACATCATGCAATGTTAATATTAAAACTAGACCTAAGTCAATTCAATCTTGTTGAAATGAGTCATGATTGTAACATGTTTAATTATTGATAAGTTCTTAAAATTCTTATTTATTCTCATTTATCAAATATTATTAATAACGCAATCAATGATATTGATTGGATAGACGACATCATATAAAAATATATTTGATCGACATAGTTTCTGTATGTATTAAAATGACTGAAAGATAAAATAGCGACAAAAAGAAGGCAAAAGAAAAAATGGCGGCAGAAAAAAACGTCGCAAACATTTGTGGAACATATTAAGAAATATTAAAGAAGATGACCTACAGAACAAAAGAATTTTCACCTTTATTTCTGTCTTAATAAATTGAAAATGTCTAGACCTATTGATCAACAACTCGATATTGATTTCATTGAAAATTTCTTCATAAAATAAGTGTACGGATAAAAATTGATGTTTTCTATCTAGATTGATTATCATTTTTAGTGATAATAGAAGACAATATTGTGTACATATATCGCTGTTGATTACACCAACAGCGACCAGAACTTATTTCATTGGGATTTATGGGAACTTTTCAATAGGTTGCTAAGAATTTGGAGATAAATTTCACACGATACCACAGTACATAAATCCTCAATAAATAAACGCCAGAAGTCTCTCAAATATTATACATAATATTTTGTTAAATAGTGAAGTTGATCGCTTATACATTTGCACTTGTAATAACTGAGATGCCATTGATTGTACTCTATTCTTTTAATTTAATACTTTATAAATTGATTTTTCTTCATAGTATATTGTTTTTTCGGTATCTGTGCAAATGTCAAACTTTTTTACTAAGACCAATAGTGACACTTACAAGCATTTTCTCTAATAATATTCGTAAAGATTTAAAGAGCGAATACGCCTCTAGTATTAGTAAAACATTAGCCGTTTGTTCGCGACGTAACGAAGATATTGAAATTTTTTCGGTACTGTAAATTTTGGATTATCATGTATGTCAATGAAACAAAACTTTCACCGTAAAAGTGATTTGAAAATTCCTGAATATTTCAAAATTAGATGTGTTATATCTCCATTAAACTAATATAGCTGAATCGTAATAGATTTTGTGTTAGTGTTCATGCCTAGACAAAAGAGCTGAACATAAAGTTTGTGACCAGTAATTTAATTAGCTATCTGACGTCGAAATATTGCATGAGTGCGTTACAATTCATTCTCCTTTCGGATGCGATTTTGAAAAGTTCTAAAACGTGCATATGATAGCTCGTCAAAAGTTAGAAGTATATTAGCACTTCTCGTTAGAAAGGTCTCATGTACTAAGGTAATAAATTTAACAAATCTTCTAAATGGTCATGCACTCATCTCTCTTCTTGTAGAGTTTTGTGAGATTATTTTTTAAAAACCAGTAAGCGATTGACATTTTTCAAATTGTCTAAAATAGTGCCTCTTCATTAATGACTATTTTCATGCCAAAGTTCTCTCACAAAGCGGTTGAGAATGTTTGTTCAGAACCTTTTTCTGTGTACTATGAGAATGCACACTTGTACCATTAATTCATAAATACTGTTTTTGATCCTCGTTTTCTATCAACTGGGACAAATGAAAAAAAAAACAGACTCATATCCTTTTACAGTTGAATTTGCTCCACAAACCAATCAACTTTTTATGTGAAAAATCTGAACTGCAACTTTGATCACGTTGAATCGTCATTAGCTAGACAAGCTGTCATTCATGGTTATTTATTTGAAAGAAGAAAGAAAACCAATATTTTACGAGTCTACTCGATAGAAAAACGTTGGACTCGATTATTCTCCCTATCAGCAACGTAGACATTGCCACAAGGATCGAAGAATAAACCCCGAAGATACTGAAATTGATTTCTATCTGGTCCTGAGCCATTTTCACCTATAGTAACAGTGCCCTGTTTCACTCCTTTAGACCAACTCATCATCCGTTGATTTAACGAGTCTGCCACATGGATGGTACCCAATACATCGACAAACAGTCCCATAGGATATGACACTTATGTTAAAGCGTTTCCTGTACCTTGACCTCCAGCTACAAGTATTCCTTCTTTTGCATCTTTATTTCATTTCATCACATGATGATTGTCTCTGTCTGATACGTAAACATCCTGTTGTCGATCGACAAAAATGTAATTCGGATCGTCGAGTTGATTTAAACCAGCACATTGTCCATAGCCACCAGCCACAATGTTTCCATTTTTGTCTCCCATCTGATATCGTCTGACTTGATCTCTGACAGTGTCTGAGATGTAGAGGCATCTCTGTTCATTCATGGCCAATCCTCAACAATCGATGCTGTCGATGAGAATTTCTCCTTGAGTTGTGCCACCAAGACGAGGGCACCTTAAGATTCTCCGATTTCATCGATCCCAGATAATAAGGCTATCCGTTTCTTTGTCGATCAAAACATCACTTGGCCAATTCCATTGATTCAATCGATTTTCTATGCCATTACCACCAATTAGCACTTATACATCCGTATTACCCATCTTCCATTGGACGATACGATGATTGTTGTAGTCAGCGATGACCATTGTTTGATCATCATCAACGAAAAGACCCCAAGAGTCGTTGAGTTGATTAGTGGCATCGCCTCTTCCGTGACCTCTAGCAACAGTCATACCATTCTGTGCCCATCGTGCATTCAATGATATGCTACGAATAGCTATAAATGAACGATTAAATGAAAAACAAAGGAATAGTTTTT